TGTGGGGACAATATCCTAGGAGTTGAGCTCTCCTTACATACACGGACTACATGTAACATGTTACATGTTGGGGATATAAAGAGGCAAAACATGTAATTTCTCCCCCAAAGGCTTAAATTTTAGGTGGGAGAGAAGATATTTACAAGAAACACACCATGAGGCAGCTAAATCAGGTGTATTGACACTAGGAGGCAATTTTTTCTTTTGATATATTTTTATTGATTTCAGAGAGGAAGGGAGAGAGGGAGAGAGAAAGAGAGAGAGAGAAACATCAATAATGAGAGAGAATCACTGATCGGCTGCCTCCTGCACGCCCCACACTGGGGATGGAGCCCACAACCTGGGCATGTGCCCTGACCGGGAGTCGAATGGTGACCTCCTGGTTCATAGGTCGATGCTCAACCACTGAGCCATGCTCATGCAAGTCTTCCTGGCTAACCAACCAGAAAATAGCAGCTGCTTGCAAACCATAGGCTCCCTGTGGGTTTCCTTTTATACATTTGCATTTCCGGGGTCATGTGGATCGTTAACCAATGGCATCTGCGCTTCCCCTCTTCCTGGAGTCTCTGCCAGAGGGAGCCCCCTCCCCAGCTCTCGCAGAGAAGGGCTGAGTAGCAGGCTGGGCCTGAGACCCACAGGGACAGGAGGCACCCACTTGCGCCATCAGCTCCAGGCTGCATGGCCATTTGTCTGCACACGTCCCTGATTGTGGAAGACACGGTGATGATATCCACAGTCACCCTCTAAAGACTCTCCGTCAACTGTTGTCAACATTTAATTATACTCACCTCGTTCTCATTCTCCAATCCAGCCTCTTCAGCGGCTCCCTCAGCGCGTGGGAAAGTTCCCCGGGCCACCCCGGGAGGGGCCAGGACTCAGGACACCTCCCTCCATCCTCTTCCTTAAGGGCCGCCCAGCTTCATTCTGAAGGGTTAGCCCAGTGGTCGGCAAACGCATTAGTCAACAGAGCCAAATATCAACAGTACAGCGACTGAAATTTCTTTTGAGAGCCAAATTTTTTAAACTTAAACTATATAGGTAGGTACATTGTGATTAACTTAGTTGGGGTACTCCTAAGCTGGCCTTTGCTAAAAATGTCCTCAGTCTGATTGAGGTACGTTCGCTGAGGTCGACCCCTTCCAACTCTCCCATCCACCCTCGTCTTGTATACTTGTTTCGTCTATCTCCTTTCATTCATCCTCTCTATATGTCCACCCCCCACTTCTTTTAATGCCACTTCTTCAAAATAGACTCGCCCAGGCCGAAAACCGACTTCTGTGCATGGGCCACGAAGTTTCAATCGCACTGTACGTGCACGCCCGCACGTGGTATTTTGTGGAAGAGCCACACTCAAGGGGCCAAAGAGCCGCATGTGGCTCTCGAGCTGCGGTTTGCCGACCCCTGGGTTAGGAGCATGGTGGGCACATTGCAGGCAAGGCTGGACAGCTCTCCCTCAGCCTCCCAATCTGAGCCAGTTTTCCCAGGAGGCGTCGGGGTTCACAAGTGGGGCACAGAATCACCCGGAAGGTCTCCAACTCTACCTGCTGGTCCCTTCCCCCAATGCCCTGGGGACAGAGTTCTCCCGGCCCCACCCCGGCTGCAAATCACCCGTCTAATTTGTTAGGAAAGCGCTTTATTAAGTTTAAATTTAGCAGGCGAGGCTGTGGATAGCCCTATCTCTGTTTCTGAGAAACAGCTGTTTACTATTCTAACCCGGCAGAGGCCTGGCAGCCACAGCTGCTCTGCCAGACACCCCTGCCCTGAGCCCACAGCTGCCCGGCTTGGTGCTCAAGTTAGAAGGGGCACACGACCCAGGACTCTGCAGGACCAACGAGGGCAGTCGGGACCTATTTTTGATGATCCCGGGGGATTATTTAAAGGAAATTCCGTGAAGTCCATGTAGCTCTTTACAAGTATTTGGTTCCGCCCGGCTAGTGTGGCTCAGTGGTTGAGCATCGACCTATGAACCAGGAGGTCACAGTTTGATTCTGGTCAGGGCACATGCCAGGGTTTCAGGCTCCATCTCCAGTAGGGGGCGTGCAGGAGGCAGCCGAACAATGATTCTCTCTCATCATTGATGTTTCTATCTCTCTCGCCCTCTCCCTTCCTCTCCGAAATCAATAAAAATATAAAGTATTTGGTTCCACTGCCTGCTTTCCTTGTCCCCGGTTCTATCCCTGCATGTCCCTCTGTACGTTTATGCGTCTGGAACTGAACAGCAATGAAACGAAAGCCATTGTGCCAGGAAGATGTTCCCGGCTGGGCGTTCCAGGTGAGCTGCAGGCTGGGTGGTCGGCAGAGTTCCTGCTAATCAGAGAGATCCCTTATTCTGTCATTTCCTCCAGGGGAAATGGGACGTGGCTCAGAGCTTCCCGGGCACTGTGGCTAGATTGTTCCCCGAGCTCCCAGAAACTGTCTTGCCCACATGTTGTTCTTTTTTTTTTTTTTTAATATATTTTATTGATTTTTTACAGAGAGGAAGGGAGAGGGATAGAGAGTTAGAAACATCGATGAGAGAGAGACATCGATCAGCTGCCTCCTGCACACCCCCTACTGGGGATGTGCCCACAACCAAGGTACATGCCCTTGACCGGAATCGAACCTGGGACCCTTCAGTCCGCAGGCCGACGCTCTATCCACTGAGCCAAACCGGTCAGGGCCACACGTTCTTTCTGAAACACTTGCTGCAGGCAAAGCCCTCTATTCGACCCCCGCCTCTAAGTCACATGCAAGGGATGTGACGCTCGGTGTTGGAGTGGGGGCGCTGGACAGTGGGCAAAGGGTCACTGAATCTCTACAGGGACATTGTAGACAAGCTGGCCGTGTGACCCATGGCTAAAAGGAGCCTCGGGGGCCAGAGGGGATGGAAAGTGATGAGGAGAAGTGCCCGAGCGGGAGATAGCGTAACCTCAGATGACACCCATAGCCTGTACTATATACGCTCAGTGGATGGGGGTCTGAGTGCTCATGACAATGGAGCAGAGAGAGCCCACGTACCAGGTTTTCTTTTCTCTTTCATTCTTTTTTAAAAAATTTATATCTTTTTATTGATTTCAGAGAGGAAGGGAGAGGGAGAGGGATGGAAACATCGATGAGAAAGAATCATTGATCTGCCGCCTCCTGCATGCCCCACAATAGGGATCAAGCCAGCAACGTGGGCATGTGCCCTCACTGGGAATCAATCTGTTGACTTATGCCAGTTGGGCTCTTATGTGTTATTTTTATTTTTATTTTTTTATTTTTTTAATATATTTTATTGACTTTTTACAGAGAGGAAGGGAGAGGGATAGAGAGTTAGAAACATCGATCAGCTGCCTCCTGCACACTCCCCACTGGGGATGTGCCCGCAACCAAGGTACATGCCCTTGACCGGAATCGAACCCGGGACCTTTCAGTCCGCAGGCTGACGCTCTATCCACTGAGCCAAACCAGTCAGGCGATTTTTAAAGTCTATCCTTGAATTACTTTCAGATATTTCCCTTCATATATTAATGATTGATACAATTTACTAATGATTAATATAGTCAATACATTAATATAACCAATGATTATATGGGCATTCCTAGAATCTGAAAATTCTAACCCTGCCCCTTGAATTTTTTTAATTACTAAAATTAAACTTAAAAAATAAACGTGTGGGAAAAGCTAATGTCGCTGTAGATACTCAGGCAAACAAAAATCTCATGTATTTGATTTGATGGAGAGCAGGGTGGCAGAGCATTGTGAATTCCAAAATGCAACTAAAAATAACAACTATGGTTGAGTAAGACTGCCGGAGATGTTCTAAGAACAGATGAAGAAACCCGATAGCAAATTCCTCTGCAGTTTGCAAATAGACTTGCGAGCTTGGTTGGAAAGTCTGGGTCTTCTGCTCAAGTGTGGAATAACATCTAAATTCATCCCAATCCCGCCTCCGTGGATTAGTGGTTGGGGAAGTGGTCAGAATTGGTCCTATGAGTAGAGTAACTCTGAATATTTCAAGATGATTGTAATAACATATAAAGAAAAAAACCTTGGAGAATATATTGCTTCTCAGGAGGCTCAGAAATGTATTTGCCTTCATGAAAGCAGTAAACCATACTTCCTTAAGAAATATGGGCTATGCCCTGACCGGTGTGGCTCAGTGGATAGAGCGTCGGCCTGCGGACTCAGGGGTCCTGGGTTCGATTCCGGTCAAAGGGCACGTACCTTGGTTGTGGGTACATCCCCAGTTGGGGGTGTGCGGGAGGCCACTGATCAATGCTTCTTTTTCATCGATGTTTCTAGCTCTCTATCCCTCCCCCTTTCTCTCTGTAAAAAATTAATAAAATATATTTTTTTAAAAAAACAAGAAATACGGGCTATGACTGGGTCTGCAGGAAGCTGGACATTCAGGGAAAGGTCTTTCAAGGAGGTGTTATTAGTAGAAAAAGCACTCAAATGGGATTAGAGGACCTGGGGCTCCGGTCCTATCTTAAAAAAAAATTTTTTTAATTTTTTTTAGTTCAGAGAGGAAGGGAGAGGGAGAGATAGAAACATCAATGATGAGAGAGAATCATTGATTGGCTGCCTCCTGCATGCCCCCCACTGAGGATGGAGCCTGCAACCCTGGCATGTGCCCTGACCAGGAATCAACCACGAGCTCCTGGTTCATAGGTCGACGCTCAACCACTGAGCCACACTGGCCGGGCCAACGGAGTACATTTGAAAGAAAAGAAAGCTCAGTAGTGGCCTCCAACGAGCTGGGAGGCTGGACCGGGCGGTGGCACAGGTACCTGCAATGCATGGTTCTGCTCCTGCATTTGTTTCGACTGCCTGACGCGAGCTACTGGGCGGTCCGCTCCCACAGGGGCACGCGGGGGCCGGAACCTTCCGACGCCAACCGGGAGCAGAGGCCCAGCCCCTGGGGAGGGTGGCACCGGGAGTCGGAAGTTCGGTCGACGAAGGCGGGGCTTTGTGCCAGGAGGCGGAGCTGTCGTTTGCGTTCCCAGGAAGCTTGTCCCCTTTCTCTCGCCGTAGCGCCCGGAACCGGAAGCCGTCCTGAGGCGTGCGCTGGGTTTCCGGTCGCGAGCCGCCCTGGGCTCCATGTGGGAACTGCTGTGAGGGGTTTGCGATCCGAGTGCTGCCAAAATCGAGCTCCCGGTGAGTGGGGGCTGCGGACGGGGGTGGGCCTTGCGGGGCACGGCGTCCGCGGGTGTGGAAATCCGGGAGCCGGACTGAGGGGCCCTGGAGCTCCCGGGGGCCGGGCAGCTGCCTGTGGGGGAGGCATTTGCTGCTCGCAGGCAGGCGGAGGAGACAGCTTGGCTCACGGCCGGCGCGTTTCCTCGCCCGTGTCTCAGGATCCCGCCAGCGGGAGAGATGACGTCCTTAGCCCAGCAGCTCCAGCGCCTCGCCCTCCCGCAGAGCGACCCCAGCCTCCTGTCCAGGGATGAAGTTGCCTCTTTGTTGTTTGACCCCAAGGAAGCGGCCACCATCGACCGGGACACCGCCTTTGCCATCGGTGAGCTCCTGCCCCTTCGAACTCACGGGGAGCGTTGGCTTTCTGGATGTGGCTGTATTTTCTTCTTTTCTCTCCTGACCTGCCCTCTCCCTGAGCGGATCCTAATTTGTTGACCTCACGTTGTTAGGGAAAGAGAATGACAGTCAGGTGCGAGGCGCCTGAGACGTACATACGTGCACAGATGCAACCACAGGGCTAGGGAGGTCGTCTAATGCACAGAGAGGATGGACAGCCACAAGGGGCTGAGTTATTATCCTTCCTGTATAATAAAACCCTAATATGCAAATCGACCCAACCGGAGGACAGGTCGCTATGACACACTGACTATCAGGGGGCAGTCGCTCAATGCAGGAGTGCCTGCTCCCCCACCCCCAGAAGTAGGCAATGGGGGGGGGGAGATGGTGGCCAGCAGGCAGCACCAGGTCACCAAGCAAGGCGGGTGGTGGGTAGGGGGTGATTGCCCTGCACGCCAGTCACCCCACAGATGGGCCTGATCGCCGGCCAGGCCTAGGGACCCTACCCTGTATGTTGGGAACAGCCTCTTAGATTTAAAAATTAAAACCTGGCAAGGCTACTCGAACCCTGAAAAGACAGAATGATGCAGCGATGACATGGGTGGACTCTGGCTTGCACATTTTGTGGTCAGCCCTGACTCTGACACTTATAACTGTGTGACAAAGCCAGTGACTTCTCTCTGCTTCAGTTTCTCCACCCATAAGGTGGGGGAAATGGTATGACTGACTCAGAAGGATCATGTTATGTACTACTTTGTATAATCAGGGCAAAAAAATGTAGCTGCCCATACAGCAGCAAGATGCCTTTCACCTGCATGAAAAGTATGGTCACTGGTGCATGCAGCGTCCCAGATTGCAAGAGGGATGTCCGAGTCCTGGTTTAGGCGTCCAACTGCCGGTTTAGGCCTGACATCCCCCAAGGGGTCCCCGATTGCGAGAGGGCGCAGGCCAGGCTGAGCCCCGCGCCCCCCCCCCACACACACACACACGAATTTCGTGCACCAGGCCTCTAGTAGCAGATATTAAACACACATACACAACACAGCCCCTGTAGGAAGTACTTCTTGTTCTTCTAGTTGGTGCAATATTATTCATTCTCTAGTTGAAAATGAGGAATCTGTGTTTGGGACCATGTTACAGGTTGTGCACGCTAAAAGGATTCAGAGTTCTTTGAGGGGTGAGTAAAACTGCTAATGAGGGTGAGATGCGCCTCCTTGCAAAGGGTCATTAAAGGAACCGTCCTTTTCCCAGGGTGCACCGGCCTGGAGGAGCTGCTCGGCATCGATCCCGCCTTCGAGCAGTTCGAAGCCCCCTTGTTCAGCCAGCTCGCCAAGACCTTGGCGCGCAGCGTGCAGACCAAAGCCGTGAACAAGCAGCTGGATGAGAACATTTCGTTGTTCCTCATTCACTTGTCCCCCTACTTCCTGCTGAAGCCAGCACACAAGTGTCTGGAGTGGCTGATTCACAGGTAGGAAGTGGAATTACAGAAATAATCAGGGGCTGACGACTTTGATCTTTAAAAAAATAATAATAATAATGACAGCATGTACCCACTTAAAGCTGAAAAATTAGGTAAGTGAGGGCTTAACGTGATGCCTGGAGATGTGGTGAGATGAGCACGAGGAGGGTGAGATGAGCCGGCCGTCTGCCGTTAAACTCGTTTTTGTTGACAGTGACACAGGCACAGGACTGCTGAAGGTCTTTAGGTCGCACCTCATCCGTTCTGAGGCACTCGTGTCACTTTGCATTAGCAGTTGTTACTGTGTGTTGGGCAGAGGGGACCACTGAACTTCTTTCTTGCTAAAGTAACAAAGTCAGTGGTTTGTGGAAAAGGGACATAGCAATCCTCTGAAACACCAGAACTAGGAAGACCATAATTTAACGTGTATTGAACATTTATAAGCCAGGCGCCATGGTGAGTGAGCACTTGGCGTGCATTATCTCAGTACTCACAACATTCCTATGGGGAGACACTTGTCCCCATTTTACAAATGGGAAGACTGAGGCATAGATCCGTTACTAATGTTGCCTAAGTCGCACATCTAGTAAGTTGGATACAAGTTTGTTTCCAAGGTCTGATACTTCATCCTCTTTGGGAGTTGTCTCAGTAAGTTTAGCCAGCTTTATTTTCTCACTTACTAGCATCACATCACAGCTTATACATCTTTGTTTATTCCCCCTTATATACGTTTTAAGAAAAGAAATACTTCTGTTTCATTCATTGGAGACATGGTGATAAAGTGACTTCCCTTTAGGAAGCAAGTGAGTCATGGAGAAAACATAATATTTTCTGGGTCTTCTAATTATCAGAACATTAGACTCATCAGACAAAAAAAGAATCGAGTCTGTAATATTTTCCTTGGCCTTCTAGCATTCAGTTTTCCCAAATAGATCAATTACTCTAAGGAGCACTTTTGCATTTGAGTCTGCATTTACTTATTCATGTTACATTGAGTTCGATACAAAGATGAGTAGGCTGCCCTTGGTTACTGTTTTGAAATAAATGCTACAATGAAGGTGTATGCAGTGTTTGGGGCTTGGAGAACCCCCTGAATTAGTCGAGGAAGGCTTAGTGGGGAGAGTAGTGCCTTGGCTAGCACAAAACCACATAGAAAACTAACTAAGAAAAGGCACAGTGGTATGTTACTCTGAAAGGTACCGGTGGGGTGGAGACACAGTAAGAGGAGTCACTGGCTGGGGGGATTAGGAAGAGCTTGGAAAAAGAGGCATCTAAGCTAGGGTTTGAAGGCTGGAAAGATTTAATGTTTGTGACAGAATTAACGAATCTTTTGTTACTAGGTTAGAGGGACCAGTACAAAGTTTTGTGAAGTTCATGGACAAGTTCTGTAGGGTTTAATTTGATGATTTTGTTTTTGATTAGTATTTTGGTTTTAGAATTACGATAATGAGGAAGCTGAGGCAGCTGTGGAAGGTGAACCCTGGAGCGTTGCTGCCTGGTGGCCGGCTGCTTCTCCGTTGGTTTGACTGCAGTGATCCCACGGTTATGTTAATGTTATGATAGGTTAAAACCAAGTGGAGAGAAAGTGAGTGGGATACAGGTTTTGGTATTGATATTTCATATATTACTCATAGGAATTGGCAGAACCGTGTTGAGTACTTCAGTGCAAAATAGAGGGCTATGGTTAATGCTCTGTATCCTATAATTACGTGATTGTTTTGACTAGTATTCATTCTAAGTATTTTTAGCTCATTGATAATACAATGTGGACGTGTAAGGAAATACGTGCTTGTAAGTTTTGTGTCATTTTGAATTGTTTGCTTTTCCCCCCAGGTTCCACATCCATCTGTATAATCAAGATAGCCTCATAGCTTGTGTTCTCCCGTACCATGAGACAAGAATATTTGTGCGGGTTATACAGCTCCTAAAAATTAATAATCCAAAGCACAAATGGTTCTGGTTGTTGCCAGTTAAGGTATGATTGTTGAATGACACGTATCTGTGATCAGTACAAATCTTGATTAAGATGTAGTTTGGAAAAAATAAAGTCATTAGTGCTTCTGAGGGTATTACCTCCGTTTTTATTTCCTAACTTCCTGTTTAAATAGCAGCTGGGTTTTATTTATACCAGATACAGGCTGTGCAATTTACATAGAGGGTGGGGCAAAAGTAGGTTTACAGTTGTGAGTACAGGAAACAGAGCTTATTCTTGTGCTATTTATTAATTATTGTATGTTCCATATGAAGCCCCGGTTGCTGTGGCTCAGTTGATTTGAGTGTCATCCCATTCACCAGACAGTTGTGGGTTCAATTCCCAGTCCGGGCACATACCCAGGTTGCTGGTTTGATTCCCCAGTCAGTACTCCCTATGGGAGGCAACCAGTCGATGTTTCTCTCTCCCTCTTCCTTCCTATAAAAACATAGCCGGGTGAGGATTAAAAGTAACGATCAGTCAGTGGCTGTTCTTTCTGTCTCTTCCAGCAATCTGGAGTGCCCTTAGCTAAAGGAACTTTGATTACCCACTGCTACAAAGATCTTGGATTCATGGATTTCATTTGCAGTTTGGTAACAAAATCTGTGAAGGTGAGTAGTATATTGTCTCATGAATGTATAATTCCATTAAATGGTCGCTTGCTCTGAATGGAGAAAACGTATTGGACCTTCCCCAGTAACAGTGGTGGTTGGAGAAGGTTCCTTTAGTAAAAGACCCTCCTGTTTAGGAGTGTGAGCAGTGGGTCGGTCTTTCATTATAAATGATGTTTTTCTACAAAAATTATTCCTTGCCAAGTTCTATTTATAATGATTGTGGAAACAGTTTAAAGAGACAGTCTAAAAATGTCAGGAAGGCTGTCTGTCAGCCTTGTCACTTTTAATTGAACCATGGAATCTGTGTATTTATTTAATGTTGCAGATGGTAAAAATTAAAATGTCAGCCTGAGGGAGCTGAAGAGAGCTGTACATGTTTTTTATACTTTTATCAAACTTGGCCTTTCACTCCTTAAATGTGTTTTGTTTGTGCTTTTGTTCCAGGTTTTTGCTGAGTATCCTGGGAGTTCGGCTCAGTTGAGGGTTCTCTTAACTTTTTATGCTTCTACCATCGTGTCTGCCTTGGTGACTGCTGAGAACATATCGGACAATATAGTTGCTAAGCTATTTCCATATGTCCAAAAGGTCGGCCCTGCTCAAGTGTATAGCAGATTATTTTGTACTTGAAGGGATGTTCTTGCTTTTAAATGTTTAACTTGGACATAAATGTTCCAAAATAGACCGTTTCGGATGGTTGATGAGATTTAACTTTTAGGTAAAAAGATGACTTTTTTTTATGGTCTTAAAAACCAGAGTAGGATCTTAATTAGGGGTTTTTTTTTTTTTTTTTTAATATATTTTATTGATTTTTTACAGAGAGGAAGGGAGAGGGATAGAGAGTTAGAAACATCGATCAGCTGCCTCCTGCACAACCCCCACTGGGGACGTGCCCGCAACCAAGGTACATGCCCTTGACCGGAATCAAACCCGGGACTCTTCAGTCCACAGGCGGACGCTCTATCTACTGAGCCAAACCAGTTAGGGCTTAATTAGGGCTTCTTAAAAAATAAATGTTGGATATTTGGCCTTGCCAGTGTTTTCCAGATATATATGTTCCATCTTTTTTTTTTTTTTTTTAGTGTAAAACAACATAAATTTATTCTTTCAAAGTTCTGGAGGTTAGAAGTGTGAAATCAGGGTGTTGGCAGGGTTTGCTCCTGCTGGAAGCTCTGGAGGAGAATTGAGGCCTCTCCCAGCTTCTAGCGTTCTTGGCAGCCCTGGTGTTCCCTGCCTCGTGGTAGCATAACTCCAGTTTCTGCCCCTCCTCACACGGTGGTCTTCCCTCCATGTCTCTCTTCTTAGTAGTCATGTTACCTCACTGGGAAGAGAACAGGTTAGCTCAGTGTCTCTGCTTCCCAGTTGCCTTGGGGCTGCCACCTTCCCAGCCCCTGGAGGTACTGCTTTCACTTCCCACCTTGTCCCACGATCATTGTCTTCACTCAGACACTGTTTCTGATGAAGTCTCCCTTTCAGGGGTGGGAATTTGCATATAAAGAAGAGCTCCTTGGCTCCTAGCAGGATGGTGGCAGGTGTGTGAGTGGCAGATCCTCTGAGATCCCTCCTCTCGTCAGAGAGACTCTCCTAGCAGGATGTGTGGCAGGTGCTCCAGTGGGAGACCCTCTGCGATCCTCCTCTCGTCCGAGAGACTTGTCTTCTCTGTCCCTCAGGAAAGGGGTCAGCATCTTGATTTTTCACTCCTGAGGGGTGTGCATTAGGTAGTATTAATCTCCAGTTTATGGCATTTCTAATTTGTCAAGGTCAAGTGACATTTTTAAATAGACTAAAATAATATATAGTTCATTATTTTTCCTTATATTTTAAAAAATATTTAGGGATTGAAATCATCTTTACCAGATTACAGAGCTGCAACATATATGATAATATGTCAGATTGCTGTGAAAGTGACCATGGAAGATACCGTCGTCAATTCATTGGCCTCACAGATCATCAAAACATTAACGAAAACCCCCTCTTTGATCAAGGAGGGACTGGGTTGCCTGATAGTGCTGCTGCAGAGGCAGAAGCCAGAGAGTCTGGGGAAAAAGTACGTACCCTTGAATTGAGAAATGATAATTAGATGTTATTTTGACGTTATTTTAAATCTTTTTTTTTTTTTTAAAGATAAATTGCTATTTGTTGTGTAACTTGTTAAGTCAACGCCTTATGTACTTGTTTCTTCAAAGGCCATTTCCTCACTTGTGCAATGTTCCTGATCTTATTACAATACTGCATGGGATTTCTGAAACATACGACATCAGTCCTCTTCTGCGGTACATGCTTCCGCATCTGGTCGTCTCCATCATTAATCACGTGACAGGTACGTGGTTTCCATTTTATGTATCAGAACGTGTTTTCTAATATTTAATTCTCTTCAAATAGGAGCCATGCCTGTGCTCAGACCTTTTCTTTTTAAATAGATTTTTATTAATTTCAGAGAGTCAGGGAGCGGGAGAGATAGAAACATCAATGATGAGAGGGAATCATTTATTGGCTGCCTCCTGCACGCCCCCTACTGGAGATGGAGCCTGCAACCCGGGCATGTGCCTTGACTGAAAATTGAAGCGATACCTCCTGATTCATAGGTCAACAGTCAACCACTGAGCCATGCCAACCCGGCTAATTGTTTTATTTTATTATTATTAGTTGTTGTTAATCTTTTTCTGTGCCTAACTTATAAATTAAACTTTATCACAGGTATATTTGTATAGAAAAAAAAGTTGAATATATAGTGTTTGGTACTATCCAAGTTTTCAGGCATCCACTGGGAGTCTTCAGACATAGTCTCCATGGAAGGTTTAATGAGATCTAGGTTCAGGTCCCAACTTCAACTATTTGTAATGAGATCTGGAGAAAGACTATAGTTTTTGGATTTCTGTTTCATTAAAGAGCTAGGCATGATCATCCTTTTTATAGAAGTACATAAAACTTCAGATGAAGGATAAATGAGGGTAGTTTCGATGCAGAAATGCTTTGAAAAATATAAATGACAAAATATGTGAAAGACAATTTTGAAAACGGATTTTTACAATACCCCAAAAAAGTGAGTTTTAGTGTACATGTTTTAAAGTTATTCCTGTAGGAAAGTTTCTGCTCTAAGTGAATATAATAGTATAAGCATGCAAAAATCATTTCCCTAATCAATTTTAACTTGTCATATATATTAAGGAGAAGAAACTGAAGGGATGGATGGTCAAATCTACAGGAAACACTTGGAAGCTATACTTACACACATATCACTGAAGAACAACTTAGACCATTTGTTGGCTAGGTAAGTGGTTATTTCTAACATGCCTTTAATTTGTATTATCATAAGTATTTAGTCCAGTAATTGTGACAACAGAAAAAGTAATTTCTCTTGCTTATCTTTAGTGCTTATATCTGATCATGAAAAGTTAATAGTTAAGCTAAATTTGGGTTATAGCTTCATGTAAATTGTATCTGTTTAGTTTCCTAAACATAAAGGGACTAAAATGCCTGAAGCAATTGGTATTCAGGAACTATCACCTAGAAGCTTCCTACTAAGGATTGGTATCAAGTGAAAGTTATTTCTTCCTTTTCTGTAAAAATAGTTCAGTTTCCCATTTCTTTTCTTGCTTAAAGGGCAGCTTGATACAGTGCAAAAAATGTAGGCATAGCGATGAGATGTGGACTTGAACCCTGGCCCTGTCCTTCCCAGGAGAGAAGGGTAGGCAGTTCTGGAGGCCAGGCTGCCCAGATCTAGGTTTGCCCTTGTGTGACATGGGCCCGGTGCCCACGTGCTGGGGTGTCCTCATTCCTGCTCTTGCTCCCAGCACTGGCTTGTGAATGGAAGGGGAGTGTGCACGTAAAATCGATGGGAGCTTGGGCTCTGGAATCACACTGGGAGCTCATCTTTGAAAGGAACAGTGGGGCTCACCAGGGCAGCGTTTGTGTCTGGTCTTGTTTGACATCAGGCAGGGTATAGGGCTTATAGCCCTAGTGTTGTATCTGTGAAATAAGTAGTTTTCTACCTGGAGGTGGTGAGAGTTAGAGATAATAAACCACCTAGGACCTGGTAGGTACTCACACAGTAACTCTCATGTCTGCTAATCCTGGCTTTGTTTTGCAGCCTTCTTTTTGAAGAGTATATTTCATATAATTCACAGGAAGAAATCGATCCTAATAAAGCATCTTTGCTTAATGAACAGTTTCTTCCACTTATCAGACTTTTAGAAAGCAAGTAAGTTGTGTGTCTTCGTGCCTCTTGTTTTGTTAATGTGTGCCTCTTGCTTCATTTTAATATAGTAAATGAGTTGTAAAGAGCCTGTCTTTTTTTTCCCCTTCAAGAAGGGACAGTATAGGATTTAAATATATTTCAAATATTAGAGGATAATTTTTTTATTGAGAGACTTTTGTTGTAGTAAATCACAGGAACAAATTTGATCGATATCACTTGGTTTTACATATTCTAGCTGTTAAAGTTTTAGTCTCAATCGGTAATTTTAAAACTTTTATTTATGTCTTTGATACATACAGGGTACATGTGGTTCATAACTTTGTATAATTTTTTATATGAATTAACTCTTTGAATTTCTTCTCAGATATCCTAGAACGTTAGATGTTGTCTTAGAGGAACACCTAAAGCAAATTACAGACCTGAAAAAACAAGAACTTTTTCACCAATTTATCTCTCTTTCTACAAGTGGAGGGAAGTACCAGGTGAGTTTTTCTTCAGAGGAATTGAGGCAGTTCGTGCTATATCTGTGTATTTGAAGAACTCAGGAGGAAATGGGCTACTTCACTCCTCTCTTTGGAGTGTTTTATGGAGAGATGAGATTTTACAGTTTTGCCTAGTTATTGAGGTAAGGCTATGAGGCAGGGATTGAATACCAGGAGAAAAGTACAGGACTTGAACTGAATGTGGTACTTATTTCAGGAAACTTAGTGTTTGGAAATTCTATATATGATGCTCAGTAGTAGTTACTCAGGTTGTAGTGTCCTAACCTTTTCCCTCTGTCTGCACTTTCCATGTGGTGCAGTCACCCAGCGAGGCTAAGTCATTGATCAGAAAAAAGGAGGTGGACTTATTTCATGATCATGTTAGAACTTCACAAGTTTTCTGGTGATTCAGCCTAAATCTTTATACTAGAAGTTAAACATTTAAGCAGCTCTTATAACTAGCCTTGAAAATAAATATGATCAAGAGACATCATTGTTGGTTTTTCTCCTTCATAATTAGACTTCCATCTTTCATTTTCAAATCTTAGCTTGGTATACAGATTTCTTTAGTCTGATTACATAAGTGAAGTAGGTTGTTACTAATTTGAGTGTTATTATTGTATCATTTAGAAGAATTGCATCTGTCTTCAGTGATCAGTTTTTTTAGTTTAATTTTCATTAAGGTGTTAATATAATAGCTTACCTCAGGTGTTTTTCACTTTGGAATCCATAATAATAAAAGCATAATATGCTAATTAGACCACACATCCTTCTGGATGTCCTTCCATCCTTCCTGATGAAGCCGGGGCTTCGAGGGAAGCCTGGGTCCCGGGTGCCAGAGGGAAGCCGGTGCTGGCAGCCGGGGGAAGGAAGGCCTACTCTTGCACGAATTTCATACATCAGGCCTCTGGTCATATATATAAAGTACACAAAATTACTTCATAGAGTTACTAAGTTAAACCTACATTTAGACACAAGCATACAGGAAATCATAGCGTTAACTACACATATTTTTTCATCTGTTATAAGCCATCCATGTTCTGGAGACAAAGGTTTTGGTTTCTGAAATTGGACAGTCGTTACTGAGTGTGGGGGGCAGTTTTGGGGTGGTTTTCTCTGGTTTTTATTCTTGATCCTATGCTGCTCGGATTTAGTGGTGAATCATTTGGTAATTGTGATGAATCCTTTAGTTTGTAGCAGATTCCAATACCTCCTTGATGCTCAGTCTGAATCACCCACTTGCCCCGGTGAGACTTCTGGCCGTTAATCATCTGAAAAATATCATGAAAACGTCAAAGGTTGGTGTCAAATAGCTTTCATTTGTGATGTTTTTATCCTTATGGTGAACTCATCTCAAAAGGCCTTTTCGAGATTGTCTGGTTCAAGGCCAGTGTGCCAGGGTGTTTGCGTTTGCATTCAGGGCAGAGCCTGTTGTCCATGACTGTGTTCCGGAGTGCTTTCCACAAACCCAGCCTCAGTTCTGGTGTAAGTCTTACAAGGTTTTAGCAACAACTAAATTTTTTTTTTTTCTCTTGCTCAGGAGAGTATCGATGAGTCTTTCATAAAAGAAGCTATTTTAACCCGATTAGGTGATGATAGTATAGACGTCGTTTTGTCGGCAATAAGTGCTTTTGAGGTGAGTGAATTTGTTGTTCATTGAAATGCACATTTTTTTTGGTAAATATTTTCCTGCCCTTCTCACGTGGTTCTCTGCTGTAGGCAGGAATATATTTGAAAATTATTCTTCCATTGTAAATTTGTTCTCTCGAGAGCACAGACGTAAGCGTAGTTGGGGAGAGCTCATGAGAGTAATGAGATTGCACTTTGTGAATTTGACCTTGGGATTATGGGAGATTGGCTCGTGAATGCCACTTTTGAGAAATTGCTCTCATAGAATTTTAAAATTACCCTAGGATTCCTGGGAGATAAATTATTTGTAATTCATTATTTTTTGAAGTTCATTTAATAAGCACCATATATACTTGAAGCAAGTAAAAATTTATTCAGGATATTTCTTTCCCTAGATTTTCAAGAGCCACTTTAGTCCAGAAGTGACTGTTTCAAATCTTCTGAATCTCTTTCAAAGAGCAGAACTTTCAAAAAATAGGGCATGGTATGTATTCCTTTCTCCTTATACACTTTTGAATTGGTGAAATTCTTTTCTGTCTTTTTTTAATATATTTTTATTGATTTCAGAGAAGTAGGGACAGGGAAGGAGAGATAGAAACATCAGTGATGAGAGAGAATCATTGGCTGCCTCCTGCATGCCCCCTACTGGTGATCGAGCCCACAACCCGGGCATGTGCCGTAACTGGGAATGGAACTGTGACCTCTGGTTCATGCGTTAATGCTCAACCGCTAAGCTCCTTAGAAAAAGAGAACGTATTTGCAGGGTTTTGTATCCATTGTATTTAATTCTTAGCACGTAGTATGTGTTCAGAGAATTTTTGAACTCATGAATGAATTTCTGATTTCTGTTGGAGATAAGATATATATATTGTGATAGGTTTTACGTTATATTAACCTAATGTGATTTCTCCAAAAAAAAAAAAAGGCTTGACAGTTTAAAATTAATGTCCCAAATAATTCCTTTATTAGCATGGATTTTAAGTGATCATCCTGGTGTTTTTGAATGACGTATTTTATGTGGAGACGAGGATGTCACTGGAGCTGGAACAATGTAATGATTTTTTGCTGAATTGAAGTCTCTAAGGCAGGGGGTCCTCAAACTACAGCCCGCGGGCCACATGCAAATACAAATATTGTATTTGTTCCCGTTTTTTGTTTTTTTTTTAAATATATTTTATTGATTTTTTACAGAGAGGAAGGGAGAGAGATAGAGAGTTAGAAACATCGATGAGAGAGAAACATCGACCAGCTGCCTCCTGCACATCTCCCATTGGGGATGTGCCCGCAACCCAGATACATGCCCCTGAGCGGAATCGAACCCGGGACCCTTCAGTCCGCAGGCCAACGCTCTATCCACTGAGCCAAACCCGTTTCGGCCCGTTTTGTTTTTTTACTTCAAAATAAGATATGTGCAGTGTGCGTAGGAATTTGTTCATAGTTTTTTTTTAAACTATAGTCCAGCTCTCCAGCGGTCTGAGGGACAGTGAACTGGCCCCCTGTTTAAAAAGTTTGAGGACCCCTGCTCTAAGGTGTCTCTGAGCCAAACGTGCTTTTATATGTTTTAGGTATGAGGTCCTTGAGGTGGCAGCAGACATACTGATTAAAGAAGAGACACTGAGTGGAAACGATGAGTTGGCAAACCAGGTGGTGGTGCATCTGCTTCCATTCATGGTCATTGACAGTGATGACCTGGCGTCGGCCGAGACGAAGCTCGCTATTTATTTATCCAAGTCAGGAATTTGCTCTCTGCACCCTGTGCTAAGAGGCTGGAAAGCAGGTGAGAAATTCAGTCGCTTTTTAGAAAAAATGAACAGGTAACACTTTAAAAAGAAGATAAGTACAATTAAAAATTGGCTATACTTGTTATTTGAAATCATGTTTATTGTATGCCAGCAAAATTAAAAATTTTTTGCTGAGATAAAATATATACAATGAGAAAGAAACTGACTCACAAATTCAGAGTTGTATAAAAGGAAAAATAAAAAGCAAACCTTTATAGGAAAATTGTAAAATTTTTCCTTAGGCTCCTTACTGTACGTGATTCTTTAGGTGAGTGTTGGTGGCATAAGGGCCCTGTGTTTAAATTTTTTTTTTTTTTTTTACAGCTCTTGAAAATGTGATTAAAAGCACAAAATCCGGCAAACTAATTGGTATAGCAAATCAGAAGATGATTGAGTTGTTGGCTGACAATATAAATTCAGGGGATCCTTCTTCGGTGTTAAAGCTGGTATGTCTGCTGTTGAAGTTCATCGCCCAGATGTCATTCTTGTAATCTTATTTGATTTTCCATATTTGCTTTACTGGATTCTTCTTTTTTAAATTTATTTTATTAATAACTTTTGCATTCTCGAGTAATTTGTTTTGCTCTAGACATATATAGTGTTGTATCGTCTATTCTGCAGATTGTTAAAAATCCTTAACATTTTATTAATTTATTTCATTGTGATTCCATCTTGGACCAGAAAGAATAATATATACTTTTTCACTTCCTTTTTCCCCTCTCATTTAAAATATTAAAGTTATATTTTTGTTAAAATAGCAAAATAGCTAAAGGAGGAGAAAATTTCTTTTGATGTAGAAAATATACCTTTGTAAAGGCATTTGGGTTTGTGATTTAAAAACATTTATCTAATTGGCAAGTACAGTTATGTTCATTATAATTTCTGAAATTTATTATTTTTTTAATTACTTAGAAATTAGTACTTACTACTTTTTTCACGCTTTATATTTGTCATCTGACTTGAAATGCAAAACACAATACCTAGCAGGCCTTAGGGAGAGAAAATTGGCGCAAACCAAGAGCGACCAGTAATGGACCCTGTCTGTTTTTGAAGGTGGAGGATTTCATCAGCATTGGGGAAAAGGAGTCCTTTAGCCTGAAACAGAAAGTGACTTTTCACGTGATCATGGCCGTGCTTGTCTCTTGCTGTTCATCTTCAAAAGGAACGCACTTTCCATTTGCGATAAGAGCCTTCAGTTTGCTGCAGAAAAAAATAAAGAAGCTGGAAAGTGTCATGACTGCAGTGGTAAGGAGGCGCCGTGCCTGGGAAGCTGTGTGATGAGTGGAGCGGCAAGTGGCCTGGCCGTCAGGAGGCCCAGGTGCTGGCTGCTTGGGGCTGGAGAGAGTGTGGAGCAGCCTTGGCAGCTGTAGAGAGTGGATCCGGTGCTCTCTTCCTTTTGCCGAAGATTCTAGATTTCAGGGTCGCAGTGTTGTGTCTGTGTCATCTTTACGGGGTAGTTAATTGGTTAAGCTGCACCTGACGGCCTTTAGTGGTGGAGAATTCACTGGATGTGTCCGTGCTTGAACAAAAGACTCCTGGTGCTCCGTTACCTGAAAATAGACCTTCTGTGTTATATTAGACTTGGCTCTCACAGGCCTACTGCTGTCTCTGAGTGTCCCTAAGTTACTAGTTTATATCTTTACTTAGTACCACATCTTGAGGTAACAGATGGTTTCTTTTGATATCTGCCCTAGACTGCAAGCCTCCAGCGTGCTTGGGTCTGGGGTGACCCTGTGCATTCCTACAGTGCTTGCTAGAACATTTTGGAACGGTTTGAGGCCTTGCCCTGCTGCATCCGGAGCAAGGTTATAGAAATTTCAGACAGTCGCCAAAAACAAAAACAAAAAGCAAATAAAAACAAAGGTTATAGAAATTTCAGACAGTCGCCAAAAACAAAAACAAAAAGCAAATAAAAACAAAGCACAAAACAACAACAAAAATAAATAATACCTTCCCTATATAATAGTATTTTGTTAATTGTCCTCCAAACGAATTACATCTTTTTCACATTGACAGGTACCCTTAGGATTTTGTAAGTTCTGGTCATGGCCACAGATAGCTAAAGTTATGTAAACTGTAAAGGAATAAATCTTTACACTTTAAAAAGTTAGCCCAGGCAGGCCCTTTTTAACTTCTTTGTTATCTTTTGTAAAAGTGCTATGGCCTGGACTGTATTTGTTCTCAGTGCAAAAGGGTGGACAAATTGAATGTTTTCGATATATGTAGGGACGGTGATTTTCTGTTTCATATTTAATCGCCTTCTGAGAGTCATGAGCACCTTCTGGCCGTGGCAGCACATTGAGCCAAGAATTCACTGACTACTGTATCATGTGAGTCTGGCTTTGGACTGTTTTTGTCCAAGTTACTACTCTGCCCGCGCCTGTATCCAGCCTCTTGTCATTTTCCTGCATCTTTTTTTCCTGCCCCCTTTTGGCATGTACAGTATAATTCCTAAAGACCGTAGCAGTTTGGTACTTGTTTAGAATCACCTGCAGGGGTGGAGATGTTACCATGTATCGTCTTCAGGTTGGCAGTAAAAATGTGAAAGGAGAACAGTCCATTTATGGATCTCCTGGAAATCCAACTCCTCTTTCTGTTTAGAGAGGTGCCATCTCATAAACACAATTTATATGGACCACGTTTGTTTTTAGAGGTGGCACTTTAAGAAAATGTAGGTAAAGTGAGGCCATGGTTAACGCATTTCTGTCTTGTGAACATGTTAGACCTCTTTAAAAACCTGATTCAAGTTATTCTCACCTAAATTCACATACAGACCGAAGTTCCCATATTATTCAGCCGCATACATCACTGCAGGCCACCTGTGGGCCTCTTTAAACCTGCGCTGTCTTTGTTTCTTGTCATTTCAGGAAGTGCCCCCGGAATGGCATGCTGAGCTGGTGCTGGACAGAGGGGTGCCAGTGCAGCTGTGGGCACATTACATCCAGCAGGTCCGCACTGCCCAGAGGGTTGCCGTGGAGGACTCGGTGTTACTCCTGTTTTCGCTGAAAAACTTTATTCATGCCCTGAAGGCGCCTAAATCCTTCCCTAAAGGTAGGACAAGGTGGGAATCTTTTGAATGTGATACCCTGAAGGACGGAATTCTTGGATCCACGACTGGGCTTGTGTTGAGTGAAAAGGCCCAGCAGCGTTCACATAAGTCACGCATGGTCTCTTTTGTCACGTACGTGTAGGTGGCGTGTGGTGGAACCCTGACCGCCTGGAGGAAGATGGCCGAGACTACCTGCGCTTGCTCGTCGGGCTCTTCGAGATCATACTCAGTGGTGCCGACAGCACGCACTTCAGGGTGCTGATGAAGCTGTTCATGAAGGTGCGAGCCTCCTCTCTCTCAGGCCTACTCTTCCCTTTCGAGTAATGCAGATATTCTAGTTATGACCGTTTTGAGTGAAAGTGAAAGTAGACTTTTAAACAGCAAAGAGCATTTGATGGTAAACACTGGCCTTGCCAAGCAGCGCTGCGATCAGGGCCCCAGTCAGGAGGTTTGACCGAGACTGACATTGCCACCTGCCTCCCGGTGGGCGAGGCCTGGTCACGTGTAATCAGTCTGCTTGGTGGGCTCATGCCATTGCCCACGAGAAATCGATGTTCAGAGAGATGATTGAGTATATTCAGAGTCACTCAGGGAAGAAACTTCGTCACAGCACCAGTGACCTCCGTGCTGTCTGGGCCAGAGGTCAGTGCTCTGTTCTCGTCTGCCTGCCTCCTGAGCAGCGTTTGGCACAGTGGACAGTGTTCGTTCCGTCTTCGCAGGACTTCCTGACACCACTCTTCTCGCTGTTCTGCTTAGAGTACTCGATCGTTTTTTGTTTGTTAAATGTGTTCAAGTGCAAGCTATAGCGAGTCCTCTGAATATCAGTCCTCTGAATTTATTTGCATACTTCCCAGTTTGCTAAACTACCAAGTGTAGAATAAGTAAGGGGAAGTGGCTAGACAAAGCAAAATACTGTAATAAGGTTTTTGTGTGTGTTTTTCTATAATTGTACACTAGGGAAAAGGAGTAGAAACCAACCTATATTTAGTAGAATTTAAACTTCACTGGTTTTTTGTTGTTGTTTTAATTTAGGTACATCTAGAAGATGTTTCTCAGTTATTCAAGTTCCTTTCTGTTGTATGGACCTATGGGTCTAGCCTTTCAAATCCACTGAGCTGCCGCGTGAAGACAGCGCTACAGACTCAGGCCCTGTACATGGGCTGTGCAGTGCTGGCCTCGCAAAAGCCCCAGAGCAAAGCCCAGCTGGCCTCCATGTCTTCCCCAGGTACTTCCGGGGCGTTGTCACATCCTGTTGTGACTGCGCTTCAGCCTTCTCTGTGGGTGGTCCGTGTGGGTTGTAGTTTGGAGAATTCCTTCTTTATAGATTTTGAAATAGAGCATGTGCTTCTACTTAGAAGTAAACTATCTGTTTACTTCTAAGTATTGCCTTTAAGTTACAAAGGTCAATTGCAAAATCTCACTAAAACAAATGATAGAAGTGATAGGTAATGAATCCAAACCATCATAATAGAATTCAGTATTGAACTAAAATTTCTGCATTGAAAAGTGAAGTCAGCCCTAGCTGTTGTTGCTTAGTGGATAGAGCATCGGCCTGCAGACTGAAGGTCCCGGGTTCACTTCCGGCAAAGGGGAAGTAAAGTCACAATAAACATCAATTCAGGACAAAATCTTTGTAAAGCACGATGCACTAATGGGTGACTTCCTCCACATAATTGTAGAAGGATGTGTGTACAGGGGTGTTTGCAGCGGTTTTAATGCAAAAAGTCTAGAAATCTAGTGAGGTACTAGTTTTAAACATACGGAAAATCAGGGAAGACTTGTACAATTTAAAAAGAATGATTTAATTTAGTTTTGTGTGGAGAACACTCCCAGAATGTTTTGAGGTGCGACAGCAGTTCCTGCAGAACAGTGTATCTACACTGTGCTCTCATTTGTGTACTTTCCAAAGAATTTACCAGCACCTGTCTAACATTTTTCTAGACTACCAGATACAGTGAATGGTCTTTGGAGAGGTAGTGTGAGTTGGGAGTAAAACTTCTCATCATGTACTCCGGGGTACTATTTAAATTTTATACTGTTTTCTGTCTGTAAATTGTTATTTACATTTTTTCCCTTTGGTTTCAGTAGTGGCATCTCTTCTCCTTAACCTGGGGAGCCCCATAAAGGAAGTCCGGAGAGCGGCCGTTCACTGTCTGCAGGCCCTTGGGGGCGTGGCCTCCCAGTTCCACCTGGTGATAGAGCACGTGACTCCCAAAGCAGAGGAGGTCACCTCAGATGCCTCCTACGTCATCCAGGTAGCTCATCTGCACAGGAGGCTGCGTGTGCGCGCACATTGTGTCCACCTGAGTGGTTTCCTCGTTCTTGACTTGCTTTGTAAGGATTTTGAGTTTAGTCTCTGAATTTAGAAACTGATGTGTCAATATTTGCACATCTTCCTCCCCCATTTTTTAAAGATAGCTGCTAGAAGACAAGTGCCTGGCTTTTGAGAGTAAGCTAAGGGGCACCAATGTCTTTTCCTGTTAAGGTTTCAGGGGAAATGAAAAATGACCCTCCATAATTAGTACATTTAACCTTTATAGTTCCTTAACTCTTCTTTTCCAATTTTCTTTTTGGTTCCCTAGGATTTGGCTACTTTATTTGAGGAACTACAGAGAGAGAAAAAACTGAAAACTCATCAGAAGTTGTCTGAAACTTTGAAAAACCTGCTTTACTGTGTATCTAGTTGCCCATCTTATGTTGCAAAAGATCTGCTGAAAGTGCTTCAGGGGGTCAACAGTGAGGTGAGTATAGTGAGTGGGCCGGATGCCATGGGGAGTCACGGGCAGGTCACCGTAACACGCGTGCACCGGCCAGGCCGGCAGAGTCACATACACGCCTTCAGAATGAACATTTTCTTACTAATTTGGGGAGGGAAGCATCATGGTGGAGAAAAATACATAGGAAACCAAAAGCACATATTGGTGCGTTTCTTCCCGTTTTAAAATTGTGTGTTATCTAATCACCGACTTGATTTTACATGAGCTTTAAAGTCACGTGGGGAAACCACTGGAGGTGGGCGCTGCAGAAAATCTTGGGTTGGGTCTGTGCTTCCGGTGAAAATCCTCCACGAGGTGATATATTCAGACATTCCAAACCATTTGCTCACTTTTTAAAGTTGTACACTTTTCGGGTGGAAATCCACAGCTTCCATTGTGTTGTCAAGGAAACCTGTGGTACAGAAGTGGGTTCCAGGGCCTTGCTGATGTGACGGGATGTGCTGCTCTCGCCACTCCCTCGTCCTCGTGTCCAAGTGCCTGTGCTCCCCCAGCTCCGGGCTGCCTGCAGGTGGAGACGTACTAACGGGTGGAATAGTACATCTGACTGTGTTTTCCTGGTGGGAGCAAACATGGCACTTATCAGCTCTGTGTCATCCCGGGTGTAGTTTAAACAGGAATTGACCATCTTACTCTATAAAGAACCAAGTAGTGAAAATTTAGGCCCCGCAGGGCATACAGTCTGATACAGCTGCTCAGCTCTGCCTTCTGTGGCGGTGGTGGCGGAGACAGTATGTGAGCAGATGGGCCCAGAAGCCATATTTTGCTGGCATTAGTTAAAGCCTTCACGTACATAATTTGCATTAATATTAATTATACCATGCTGGAAACACTTAGGCCAGTGATGGCGAACCTATGACACGCGTGTCAGAGGTGACACGTGAACTCATTTTTTTGGTTGATATTTCTTTGTTAAACGGCATTTAAATATATAAAATAAATATCAAAAATAAAGTCTTTGTTTTACTATGGTTGCAAATATCAAAAAATTTCTATATGTGACACAGCACCAGAGTTAAGTTAGGGTGTTTCAAAATGCTGACACGCCGAGCTCAAAAGGTTCGCCATCACTGACTTAGGGAAAGGTGCAGTGTTTTAGAAAAAGCTAAAATTTATGTTTATAATCTAAAACTTCAGTTTCGTTTGTATCTCCTGTTTTCAGAAAGTCTTGGGACACTCAGGTTTCTCCATTGATCCCTGAAGGGTAGAGCTTTTTGACCATTCATTGTAGACTAAGCTATAGAAGGGACCTGAATACTTAATTGGGGTAACAGTCATCCCATGTCCCAGAGGACATCGTTATTGGGGGGTTTTCTCCAGGCTAAGCTCCCAGTCTTCCAACAGGATGTCTTTGCAGATCTTTGTTAAAGCAAGAAAACATGTATTAGTGTTTACTAATCAACTTTCCACACTTCAGATGGTGCTTGCTCAGCTGTTGCCTATGGCTGAGCAACTGCTAGAAAAGATCCACAAGGAGCCCTCGGCTGTCCTGAAAGACGAGGCCACTGTCTTGCATCTCATCTTGGGAAAATATAATGAATATTCAGCTTCTCTGTTACATAAGGACCCAAAGAGTTTAGATATATTCATAAAAGCTGTGCACACCACGGAGGAACTTTTTACGGGAACGCCATCCGTTCAGATTACAGCCCTCGAAAAGGTCAGTGACTTCTTTCAGAAACGAAAGCACATTCAAGCTTTTAAAAATGTGTGATGTTTTACTTGGAGAAGATGAAGTGGACTGGACATGTTTTAAAGGAACATGATTCATTTGACCCACTTGGCAGAACAGTGATGTACATGGGTCATTAAAAAATACTGCATTTTAACTGTCAAAATTGGGAACAATTTTACATTTCTAAGAGAATGATGTAAAGAATGTTTTAGGGATTAAAGTTTGTTCATTGAGCTCAATGGCCTTTTTTTTTTTTTTAACCTCCTTTAGATTACAAAGCCATTTTTTGCTGCTATATCAGATGAAAAAGTTCAGCAGAAGCTTTTGTGCACATTGTTTGACTTACTGGTGAACTGTAAAAATTCCCATTGTGCTCAGACTGTTAGCAGTGTTTTTAAAGGGGTAAGTTGTTTATTGTTTGTTCTCTTCCAGGTAACACCATGTTGAAGCAACCTCCGTATACAGTGCTTTTAGGAAGTCCAATGTTACCATCACCAAAATCCACAGAAAAGGCAGTTATAGAGAAGTGCTAAATCAGAATTAGAAATCTTCACTGTTGTTTTAGTGTCTGAAATATTTATGGTTTTAACCAGGTAGCAAGTGTATGTTAGTTGGAGTTTACTGGTGTTAGAGGGGATCTGCCTGTTGGAATGGGTGGTGTCCTGGTGCTCACCTAGGAACAGCTCATTCTGCCTAACTTCAATGTTGTCTAATGATGCGTGTGGAGTGACGTTGAGAGCTTGTGTGTTGGTTTGTGTGTCCACTGAGACCCAGCACATATCAGAATAAGCACTAATTACCCTGTTGTTGGAAGTCACATGCGCAGAGGCTAAGAGCCTGGGAAGCCCTAGTGTCTGCGCTCAGCATTCTCAGAAATTACCGTGTGTTTACTCAGATTTCTAAGGCAAATTAAGTGAAACAAATTAAGGTACAGAGCAGTGTGTGTCATATGCTCCTGTTTGTTTGTTTTATTCGTTCCATCTTTAACAGCTGTCAGTATACGGGAAATTTTCAAAGGAATACATAAGAGTCGTTAGTAGTGTTTGCCTTGGGGGTTTGGCCTGGGCTCCAGAGCCATAGGGAGACATAAAAGTGAACCGAGATGTTCATTGCATCGCTTTCAGTCAACGTTCACTGCTTTAATTTTATCCTGTGAGGTATGGCATCAACATTTTTTCATGTTTCAGATTTCCGTCAACGCTGAGCAAGTCAGAATAGAACTGGAGCCACCAGATAAAACCAAGTCCTTGGGCACAATTCAGCAAACAAGAAGGCAGAAGATGCAGCAGAAGTAAGCTGTGCCTGCAGGGAGCATGCTGCTCCAGGCCTTGAATGTGACAAAACCGTTGTGATTTTTCCTTACCCTCAATTTGGCATAATCAGGTGTGTTTATTCTTAGCACTAATAGTATTTGCTTTTCCAACTTTTTGTCACATCTGTTTCCCAGGAAATCACAAGATCTAGAATCTGTTCAGGACGTTGGAGGTTCTTACTGGCAAAGAGTAACCCTCATCCTGGAATTACTGCAGCACAAAAAGAAGCTCAAAAACCCTCAGATACTGATCCCAACTCTCTTCAACCTGCTGTCGAGGTAACGGTCCTGCCTTTGGTCCAGGAGAGAAGGGGATTCTGATTCTTCCTCATCTTATTTTACTTTCCACTCTTCTTTCTCTTGCTTCGCTGGTCTGTAAAGTAGAGCAAGTTAAGAACTGTTGTAGAAAGACGGAAGGGATGGTTTAGGACCCATTGCCAGTGCCCACGCTGACCTTCATCCTGGGCTGTGTAGTAGGTGGCCACCTGCCTTGCAGTCCACTTTCTCCTTTCAGTGCCGTGTCCCCGGGGCTGCATTGCTTGTATTTAAAGATACAAGGCCACACCCACTCTATATTTTAGGTGTAAATTATTAGATAGAGAGCCATAGCGAGTGCCATTCAATTGTGGGTGTGTTCTTTCATCTGAAAGGCAAATCAATTCTAAGATTCTACACAGGGTGATGCTAAGTGCAGTAGGGAGGAGAGGTAATTTGACATAAGCACCTGCCTATATGAGAAAGAAGTTAGAATTCGAAGTCTTCCAGCTTGTGTATAGACTTGATGTTTAATGTTAACGTCTTAGTCATCCCTTATTGAATATGTTTGCTGGACAGTGGTCATGGTGTGTCACTGACTGACATGATTCAGCTCTCACATCCCGTCCTCTTCCGGATCCTGCAGGTGCTTAGAGCCTTTGCCTCTGGAGCAGGGGAACATGGAGTACACCAAACAGCTAATTCTCAGCTGTTTGCTCAACATCTGCCAAAAGCTCTCTCCAGACGGTGGCAAAATACCAAAAGGTATGTGTGTGCTTCGTTGGAGGGGAAGGTGGGAGATTGTCCACCTCAGGTAGGACCGCGCCTGCCACGTACAGCTTGTGTACCTCTCCCCACCGCAGACATTCTGGACGAGGAGAAGTTCAATGTGGAGTTGATCGTGCAGTGCATCCGCGTCTCGGAGATGCCTCAGACCCACCACCACGCCCTCCTACTTCTGGGGACTGTGGCCGGGATATTTCCTGTAAGTACGCGGTGTGGCGTGGGGCTTCCGCAGGTATTCCCGTGTTTCCGTCTTCCCTGGACAGGCTAGCGGGTGCCAAGTGGTGTCTTGTGGGTTTTGCATGTCCCTAATGACTAATGAGGTTGAGCACCTTTCCATGGGTGTACGGATGTTTGTTTACCTTTGGAGAAATGTCTTTTTAAATCCTTGGCACATTTTAAAACTGAGTTTTTTCTCTTACTGCTGAGTTATAATGAATCATTGATATTTGATTTGTTTAAAATAGAAAGTGTTGAAAAATGTCTTTTCTTTCAGGATAAAGTTCTGCACAATATTATGTCTATCTTTACATTTATGGGAGCCAACGTCATGCGTCTAGATGATACTTACAGTTTTCAAGTTATTAACAAGACAGTGAAAATGGTTATTCCGGCACTTATTCAGGTGAGCTGTCTTTATACCATTGCTAGTGTCATTTTCTACAGTTTTACCAGCCTTTCTAAAATGCTCAGGTATTAGTGCCTCTTAAATTGTAGACGATGAAGCTAAGAAGTAATCTTGAAAATGACGTCTTTTCCAAAATATGAATAAATATGCATTCTACAAGGGTATAACTACGAAAGTGCCTTGACTTTATTCTGACAAAGTGAATTTACATTTACTGTGTATTTCAGGACATTGCATCAGTTTGGTAATAACCCTTGTGTAGGGCGATGAAGATAGGAAGCGTTAGAGCTACAGTGGCAGCCTTACTGTGCAAATCCACAGACATGTACAAGCTCTGAGAGCTAAGCGCTCAGATGAGGGAGACTAGTCTGCCTTAAGGATGGACCATTTGAACTAAAAAGTGGCCTCGCAGATGAAAGAGGTTGGTCATCTCCTTGAGTTCTCTGTTTACCTTCATTGTTGTTGGTCGTATCTTATGTTGTTGACTGACCATTCCAGGGATGACCATATCAGCACTGTCTCCTTTGAGTCTTGGTATTAGATTGGTATTCTCCGTTTCCAGCACATTAGTGAAACAGGACACACACATATGTGTGTGTATATTAAGAAAAACTCTGCCTTGTTATTGTATTTGCCAATAGCATAGGTAAGTGCTAAGAGTCCAGAATAGGGAAAGTCCATCTGGGCCAGGCTGACCACAGTTTCCTAAGAAACCATGTGATTGGTAGGAAAGTGCAGGATTTGCCCAGGAAGTGGCAGCGTCGTCAGTAGCGTGAGCAGAGGCACAGCCGGGAAGGTGCACAGTGTGAAAAGTGTCATGTGGTTGATTTGTGGGGAGCAGAGAATCGAGACAGAAGTAGAGGGCGTTGGTTTGTTCATTCTTTTATTTATCGAACAGCTCTGTTTTGAGCACCCGTACCAGAGAAGAATGGTCTGAACTTGATTCTGAAACAGCAGGAGCTCCTGGCCTTTCTGTGCTCTCAGTCGTACCCACTCTTCTTGAGCAAACACAAATCCTGCTTGGTCTCCGCAGCTCCCCGGGCGTCCGAAAGCAGACTTGCTCTCAGTGCCTGGCATCGGGGTCTGCCATATAGTGCCCCCTGTTCCCGCCTCACCCCGGGTCCTGTTTCTGATGAGTCTCCTTTGTGGCAGGGCTCACATCCTACACTCAGTATTCCCCTCAGGGCCAAATAGTGCCTGGGATGTAATTTATCCTTATTGAATATTTCCTGATTGGCCTCTGATTATTAACATTTTAATAGCGTTGGGCACACAGGAAGGCCTTGTCCTGCCCACGTAAAGCCTGCTGTGTGGGGGCTCTTTGTTCCCGCCCTGACCCTGCTTGCCACTCTGCAGTCTGACGGCGGAGACTCTGTGGAAGTCACGAGGAACGTGGAGGCGATCGTGGTGAAGATCATGGGAGTGTTTGTGGATGCGCTGCCACACGTCCCAGAGCACAGGCGCCTGCCGGTCCTGGTCCAGCTGGTCGACACCCTCGGCGCAGCACGATTCCTCTGGGTCCTCCTCGTCCTGCTGTTCGAACAGTACATCACAAAGACCGCGCTGGCGGCCGCCTGCGGGGAGAAGGTCAGTGTGGGGGGCGGGTGGAATGCAAGACGGGTGTTTCCCTCAGGTTTGTGATCTTTTCCAGCTGAACTGTGGGCAGCGATGTTCCGCGTGCAGTACTTGCCAGTGCTGGCTCAGAACTGCTCTTCCAGATGCCCTGTCAGTCTTTAACGTTGTTTCGGAGCCATGGCTCTGGATCCCACAGCAGCCGCAGGCATCGCTGAGGGTGCAGGTCTGGTGCCCTGCGGTGGTTCTGCTCTGAGCCCAACAGGACAGCTGTGAGGGATTGAACAGTGGATTGAAAATGGGTATGAAAGCATCTCACGGGGAAAGGGAAGAGTGTCCGCATCCGTAAGATGCAGGGGGTGTTTGGGGGAGCCCTGCTGGGGTAGACGAGGATAGGACTGAGCGGTCAGGACTGTTTTTAGATGAGAGCTGGCTCTGGGAACAGATCTAGACCTGATCCGAGTAAAGCAGGGTGTTGAGTTCTGCGGAAGTCGTCACGCAGACTCGCCTGGAGTGTGCTTGCAACCCTCCTGGGCTGGCTCTTCAGGTATGGAGCTCGGTCCCATGTGATACGTGGGACGAGGAACAAACGTGGTGACGTGTGCTAAGCAATATTTTTACGACATTCCCCTTACTGTGCTTACTAATTAACATGAATTGGACAGGTGCAGTTTTACTACCTGTGTCTCTTCTCTATGCAGGATGCTATGCTGGAAGCAGACACTGAATTTTGGATCTCAGTCTGTTGTGAGTTTAGTGTCCAGGAGCAGATACAAAGCTTGATGAATATCCTCCAGTACTTGCTGAGGTTGCCGGAGGAAAAGGAAGGTGAGAGAACGGGGGCTTACTTCCTGTTGAACTGAACGGTCGGGGGTAGGAAGGGGTGGGCAGAGACTGTGTAGAAGAGAAGCAGTGGTGACGAAACACTGAAATGTCACCATGTATAGGAGACTCAGAGAACATTCCACTATTGCGCACCAATGACATTGGCTGGATGTGTTGCATGTTCTTAGTTCTATGCCCTTCAGAGCAGAACAGCCAAGTGTATTCGAAAGATGGGTCTGGGGACTTGCGGGGACTGTTTTCTGTGTGGCCGGCTGTGGCCTGTCTTCCCTGCTCGGCCAGGCAGTGACTTGCCTTATCTTACCGTCGGCTCAGGGACAGAGCGGCAGGGGCCAGAGCACTGTGTGTGGTGACCTGCGAAGGAAGAAGTCTTCGTTTGAGTCTCTGGGACAGTGGTTTTTAAGTGGCCCACCCTGAACCCCCAACCACTGCACCCTTTTATATTGGATCCATTTGAACATGGGATTCTACAAAGTCTTAGAATTAAATGTTGAAGACTTCAGTCTGAGGTGGCCACCAAGTAAATGCCTGAGGCTTCAGAAATTAATTAGGCTCCTTGTACAGTATTTTTGGCTTCCAGTTGCTTGTCTCGGCTGCCCTCCTTTTGTTTGTTTTTCTTTTGGTCTTACACACTCTTCTCAGGGCTGCTGGGTACTTCCTTAGTAAATGTATTCATGCCTTTCACTAATTTATTTTTTTACATTTTTTTTAAAAATTGATTTCAGAGAGGGAGAGAGAGAGAGAGAGAAACATCAATGATAAGAGAGAATCATTGATCGGTTGCATCCTGCACGCCCCCCACTGGGGATTGGGCCTGCAAACCGGGCATGTGCCCTGACCGGGAATCAAACCATGAACTCCTGGTTCATAGGCCGACACTGAGCCAGGCCAGCTGGGCTTTCACTAATTTAAAAGAGGGAAAACTGAGTGTACTGGCTTAACAGGTTCTGTACCTCTCTGAGACATGTACCCCATTTCCTGTGCTCTCTGTATCTGCACTGCAGATTGAGGTCCAAGATGAGTGTGGCCACCGATTTTGTTGCTCTTTTGCAGAAACCGTTCCCAAAGCGGCATCTCCTCCGAGCGCAGCCGCAGGGGAGATGCTGCAGGTGTTCAATGTGGACGCTCACACGGGCAAGCAGCTGCGGCACCTCAAGTTCCTGTCCGTGTCCTTCATGGCCCAGCTCCTGGCTTCCAGCCACTTTATCAGAAAGGTGTGTGTTCTTCAGACGTGTGATAAGACAGTGACTGCTTTTTCTGAAGGAACTGTGTTTTAAACTAGTAAAAAGAGCTTGGTGTAGGTATCATGAAAACGTGACGCATGGTATCTTAAAATCAGGCTATGAGCTAAAGGACGATCAGCATCCCATAATTGGCAGGTAAATGAGTATTGATTTGCTATAGTTTTCTGAATCTTTGTAGTACTTTACAGATATTACCAATAGCTGTAGAATGTAATTAAATGAATAGATTGTAATTAAAATAAAGTAAGGGAAATAGAGTTATTACAATATGACGAGGGTGATCTGAACCTGATTAGATTGTAATGTCAGAAAACGGTTGCTCTGGGAAGTTTGAATTGAATAGTCTTAGGTGAATTAAGAGCCCACCTCAAATGGTTTTTATTATCAGCTGCATAATGTCCTAACGAGGCCTTCTTTACAAATTAGGTCGTTGAAAGCGGTGGTCCTCAGGCTTTAAAAGGCCTTGAACAAAGGTATGTTACGTCTTCTTTTTCCATTTTTATTTGGAAATAATTTCAAACTTTTATCAAAAACCTGGAAGAATAGTACAGAATCCTCACGCGTCTCCTGTGTTTAGTTTGCTGGAGGCGGTCCTCGGCTACATTAATGCGGTTGCACAGTCGGTGGAGAAAAACGCAGACAAGCTAACTGGGAAGTTTTGGCGAGCGCTCCTCAGTAAAGCTTACGACATGTTGGACAAGGTAGGGCTTCGTTTCTCCCTATCTTACATGCTTTGTTGCTGTTTTTATGTCCTTGTGAAATGATTCAGCAGTGTTTTACTTTAAGAATAAACCTAGCGCCCTAACCGGTTTGGCTCAGTCAGTGGGTAGAGCGTCGGCCTGCGGACTCAAGGGTCCCAGGTTCGATTCCGGTCAAGGGCATGTACCTTGGTTGCGGGCACATCCCCAGTAGGGAGTGTGCAGGAGGCAGCTGATCGATGTTTCTCTCTCATCGATGTTTCTAACTCTCTATCCCTCTCCCTTCCTCTCTGTAAAAAACCAATAAAATATATTTTAAAAACAAAACAAAACAAAAAAAAAGAATAAACCTAGCAATCACTTCTCTTAATATAATGCAGCTCAGGTTTTTCTTAGAAAAGAACTTCTTGATGACTAGAAGTAATTTTGTCGGAAAGACAGTTGTTTCTCTATCGACTATGTGAACATGAGCCTTAGCAAACACTGTGCTTTCAGAATTCAGTCATGGGACTGTGTGACGCCCCGCTTTATTCAGGTAGAAGTGGGAGGACAGTGCCTGTCAGGTGGGGTGTGAGATCTCTTAGAGGCTCCGCCGGTCCTGACGTAGGATCTGCCCAGCGTCCGGCTGAGTGACTCTGCTCCCTGGCATTGATCAGCTCACTTAGTCTGAGCATCCGTTCCTTTTTTTTTTTTTTTTTTTTTTTTTTAATAAACATGATCAGCAATGCCCTACCTGAAAGTTAGTTTAAGAATTAAATAAGAAAATGGGCTTGAACATGCCTGGCACCTAGAAGGTATTCAGTGGATAGAAATCTGTCTTGATCTCCGTTTATCTTCCCTTTTTTCTAATTGCTTTTTTGTTCATTGTAAACTGCTCTCTAGGTCAATGCCTTGCTGCCCACGGAAACATTCATTCCCGTGATTAGAGGGCTGCTGGGCAACCCCCTGCCGTCTGTCCGCCGGAAAGCGATGGACCTTCTGAACAACAAGCTGCAGCAGAAAGCGTCCTGGAAGAAGAAAACCGTAAGTGACGGCGCGTCCCACCCACTCACCGCCCTGCGGTGTCCGAGCTGCATGTAACTCCCTTACGGGTCTCCATGGTACAATCCACATACGTAGGTGGTTATCTGAATATACTGCCGTGGCATGCGTGTTTTCAAACAGGATATTCATTCTGTAGGAGTAGAGATATATGTCCTTGGAGCTCTTGGAATGAATTTCAACTCTAATAGAATTCTTGCTTGATGTGGACCACACACTGGCTCGGGGACAATTCTCATCCGCTCTCTCTGCAAACCAGGAGATGTTTCGTGTGAACTAGGAACTGCTCCCAGCACACGCATTGGCTCAGTAGCAGCAAGTCCATTGGCGGAGGTCATTGTGTGTGATCATGTGGCTCAGGCCTCTGTTGGGCAGTGTCAGCAGTAACCGTGGAAAGTGAACTGGCAGTGTCCTGGCAGCTTTAATTATTGGAAACTTTGCTGTCCTCCTCAGGTTTACCACTTCCTCAAACTGGTTCCAGTCCTTCTAGCCGTTGTGCAGCGTAGAAAAAAGGGGTCCGAAGAACAGGCGGTTAACAGACAGACAGCTCTGTACACCCTGAAGCTTCTATGCAAGAATTTCGGTGCGGAGAACCCAGAGCCTTTCATCCCGGTGCTGAACACGGCGGTGAGACTGGTCGCTCCAGAGAAGAAGGACGAGAAGAACGTGGTGGGCAGTGCCCTGCTGTGCATAGCAGAGGCGGCCTCCACCCTGGGGCCCCGGGCTGTCCCTCAGCTTCCCAGGTGCGTGGTGAGGCCCCGAGGGGGCTCAGCTGGTGGGAAGTGTCATCCCATACAGCGAAAGGTTACGGGTTCCATCCCCAGTTAGGGCACATACGGGAGGCAACTAATCAGTGTTTCTCTCTCACATTGATGGTTCTCTCTCTTTCCCGCCCTCCCTCTCTCTCTAAAATCAATGAAAACATGTCCTCGGGTGAGGATTTTTAAAAATTAATTTGCTAAAGAATTGACCTTCAAGCTGAAAAGCACACCATTCTCACTTACCTCTATGGTGTTTCTTGTCCCCGTTTTCAATCCCCTCTGACCAGCTGTCAATAGGAAGCCACAGGTAAGGCAGACTGGCTGTCAGCCTGCAGGGCACTTGGCTTCGCTGCCTGTGATGCCGAGACTGTACCCACCTGTGGGGTTCCGTGGGGCAGAGCATTGAAGGCTTTTTACACAGGGCCGGACACAAAGCAAGCGTTAAGTCAGGGGTCCTCAAACTACGGCCCTCGGGCCACATGCAAATACAAATATTGTATTTGTTCCCGTTTTGTTTTTTTACTTCAAAATAAGATATGTGCAGTGTGCATAGGAATTTGTTCATAGTTTTTTTTTAAACTATAGTCCGGCCCTCCAACGGCCTGAGGGACAGTGAACTGGCCCCCTGTTTAAAAAGTTTGAGGACCCCCGCGTTAAGTGGAAAGGCGTTATTTTTTAAATGAGCGCTGTCAATACTATAGGCACCGGGACACGTCTTGCTCTTTGTCACGGAAGCTGTGTAGACGATGTTTTGGGTAATGTGGGCACCAGTGTGGGATTTTTTTCATAATGACTTATCCTCCCTTCTCTACTGTTTCCGCTTTAAGTTAGTCTAAAACGTGTTCTTTCTTCCTAGCCTGATGCCCTCATTGCTGACAACAATGAAGAACACCAGCGAGCTGGTCTCCGGCGACGTCTACCTGCTTAGCGCCTTAGCGGCCCTGCAGAAGGTGGTTGAGACTCTCCCCCACTTCCTCAGCCCCTACCTGGAAGGCGTCCTGGCACAGGTGAGCCCCGAGACCACAGGTGCTATGTGAGGGAGCGGAAAAAGGAAAGTCACACACTTAATCATTTTGTTTGTTTTTAACTTTAATTATTTCTGAAAAGAAGGGCCTTGTTATTCCTAAATGTGTGCCTTCTCTCCCATGTCATCGTGCCTCCTACTTAGCCCTGACATTGAAAAGGTGTCATTTTTGCCATGAGGCTGGTCTCTTGATTGGGCAGAATGTAGTTATTGCTCTTTTTTTCCCTGAGAGGTTTGGCGTTGAGCTGGCAGAGCTGCCTTTATTACTTCCTGTAGGACCGGGTGCGTCCGGCTCTCCTGTTGGAGGCCTCCTGCAGTGCAGTGCAGAGCTTGCTGCAAACGGTGGGCCGGTGGCATTTCCAACGGAAAATGCCCAAGAATGGCCCCACACCTGTTCTGTTCTCTCGGTCGTTTGCCATTTACAACTTCCTTGATGCGAATGATTTAACCAGCGCTTGAAATGTACAGAAAGGGGCCTCTCCCCTGAGGGGCCTGCTAAGTTTGCTAGCAAGAAGGAGCTCAGGTTCTCATGGCGCTGGCTTCCTGTCCTGAGAACATCGCGAGTCTGAGTGCTCGGACCACTCACCCAGGTCCCCAAGTCCCGCTGGGAAAGAGGCACCCGTCCATTTGCATCTGCAGACGGTCAGGGTTGGCTGGGAAGGGAACGCTCTGGCAAACGGGCACCGAGCCTTCCCAGCCACTAGCATCTGGGCTGTCTTCCCGAGTCATCACTGCGACTCTGCAGACGTTCTCACTGAGCCACAGAGGCCTAGATCACTGTCTTTCTGTTTCCGTAGGTGATTCATTTGGAGAAAATCACGAGTGAAATGGGTGCTGCCTCCCAGGCTAACGTCCGTCTCACGTCTCTGAAAAAGACACTGGCCACCACTCTGTCCCCCCGCGTCCTGCTGCCGGCCATCAACAAAACGTACAAGCACACCCAGAAGGACTGGAGGGTGAGATCTGTCGGGGTTGGACTTTGGGGCGGGGAGGTGCGGTGCTGACAGGTTCCCCTTCATAATGAACTTGGAGTGTGAAGAACTGGCCCCTCTCTCTGCTGTGTTCTTGGTAGAACCACATGGGTCCGTTTATGAGCATCTTGCAAGAGCACATCGGGGTCATGAAGAAGGAAGAGCTCACCTCCCATCAGTCTCAGCTCACCACGTTTTTCCTGGAGGCCCTGGACTTCCGAGCACAGCACCCTGAGGTCAGCTTAGAGCCACTCCCCCCAATCCTGAACGCACCTGCTGAGAGCCAGCCCAGAGCTAGCTGTGAGCTGTTCTACTGGCCAGAAGTATGGAAAGCTGGATGTCAGAACTCTGCCTAATAAAACAGCTCTTTTGTTTTCAGAATGATCTGGAAGAAGTTGGAAAAACAGAAAGCCATATCATCGACTGCCTGGTAGCTATGGTTGTCAAACTTTCCGAAGTCACATTCAGACCCCTGTTTTTCAAGGTGAGCTTGCTTCCGCCCTGTCTGCTCTGTGCTCCTCTCAGTAACAAGATGTGTAGAATAAACTCCTACTTCTCTCTCTTTTTAGCTGTTTGATTGGGCCAAGACAGAGGACGCCCCAAAGGACAGACTGTTGACGTTTTACAACTTGGCAGATTGCATTGCCGCAAAACTGAAAGGGCTCTTTACTCTGTTCGCCGGCCACTTGGTGAAGCCTTTTGCCGACACCTTGAACCAGGTGAACATCTCCAAAACAGGTTGGTAGCTGACTCCAGCTCGTTGACACCTTGCTCTGTGTGCCTCGAACAAGCTCGGGAAGTATAGTAAGTCTAAAGGGTGGGTGTTTCATGCTGTAGTCGGTGGTCAGGCCCTGAAGTATCTGCTTTCGCGTCATGAGAAGGGTCATGAGTTAACTGAAAGGAGGAATCACTTACCCGAGAGCCCACCCACGGTGCCACCCTCATCCTGAGCTTGCTTTCTAGATGGAGGAGGAAATGCCCTCTTGATTGTAGTTCTGTCGATACTGATTTTGAATGTAAACGTTGGAGATTCAATTGTGACATTGTTTTCATTTTTACTCTCCCCCCTCCTACAGATGAAGCGTTTTTTGACTCTGAAAATGACCCTGAAAAGTGCTGCTTGCTCTTACAGTTTATCTTGAGCTGTTTACATAAAATCTTCCTTTTTGACACCCAGCACTTTCTAAGTAAAGAGAGAGCTGAAGCCTTGATGATGCCTCTGGTGGACCAGGTAACCAAGTCAGACCATCTTTTAACTTCTCATTTTTTGTGGATTTAACTTATCTTCATTGGTGGTGCTACTTTTGAATTTTTCACATGAAAGGCACAATGTCAGGTCTAATGTGGCAGTCGCCAACCGGTGGTCCGCGGACCACTAGTGTTCCGTGAGGTCCAAAAGATTGGTGACCGCTGGTCTAATGGTTAAGTTTTTAATTTGTTAAAACTGTTTCATTGAGAATGGTGGGGGTGTGGCCGTCCTCTGGCTCTGAGATGCTCTGGGGAGAGGGGTGCTAAGGCTGAGGTCTGTGTGAGCTCCCGAAGGCAGTCAACTTCCTAGACAGTGTTAGAACAGCACCCGGTGTTGAGCCCGTCATGAGGACAGTAGAATATTGTTTATACGTTGGGTATTTTTTCAAACAGAATGAGCCCTGTCGCTCAAAGTCCTTTTCTCTCTCCTCAGCTGGAGAACCGGCTGGGAGGAGAAGAGCGGTTCCAGGAGCGGGTGACGAGGCACCTGGTCCCCTGCATCGCCCAGTTCTCGGTGGCCATGGCCGACGACTCCCTCTGGAAGCCCCTCAACTACCAGGTCCTGCTGAAGACGAGAGACTCCTCGCCCAAGGTCAGGAGCCGCGGTGGCAGCACTGGTGCCAGCACTGTGCCCGGTGTTCTCACCATGTAGCCCAAACAGCTATCGCGCGGTCACGGCTGTGCAACCGTGGTAACTAGCGGGACAAACACGGCTGCTCATCTTCTAGCACCAGCGGGCAGGCTGTGCCGGACACAAGTTTGTGCCTGCCTGCGTTTTTGGGTTTTACTTCCGGGTTATCTATAAATAACAGCAGTCCTCCCCGGCCCCTATAGTGTGTGTGTGGCATGAACACTCAAATACTTTTAATACTTCTGCACTTTTTTTTTTTAAATATATTTTATTGATTTTTTACAGAGAGGAAGGGAGAGAGATAGAGAGTTAGAAACATCGATCAGCTGCCTCCTGCACATCTCCCACTGGGGATGTGCCCGCAACCCAGGTACATGCCCTTGACCGGAATCGAACCCGGGACCCCTCAGTCCGCAGGCCGACGCCCTATCCACTGAGCCAAACCGGTTTCGGCTACTTCTGCACTTTTAAATCTTGAGAAGACGTGAAGTGATTCCTTGTGCTTTTATTTTAAACACTTAAGTGTCTCTGTTTCCAGAGACCAATGCTCTGAGCTTGTGCACAGACTTTCCTTTGGGTGAGAGTGTATCTCAGGCCGAGGGGTCTGTGGGAAATGGAAGGTAGGTGTAGCTGGTGACACCCACTGACATGGGGGTCAGAGTGCGGAACACAGTTCAGGTTGCCTGTATGACAAACAGATCCCAAACTGTTCAGTAACCTGGCATCCTAGGTGAAAGCCGAATGGACATAAAGTGAAATAAACTCATATTAAAGAACATTTTGTTTTTAAGATACTAGTTTTTACCAACCTTTACTTTTGGTTCCCTCAGGTTCGATTTGCGGCCCTCATTACCGTTCTCGCACTGGCGGAGACGCTGAAGGAGAATTACATCGTCTTGCTGCCAGAGTCCATTCCTTTCTTAGCTGAATTGATGGAAGGTAATTTCCAATGAAAAAGCAAATGTGGGTGCAGTGGGATAGCTTGGCTCGACTGGGGACCTGGGAGGCCGGGTTCCTGTTTGAGTGGGGTGGCGGGAAGAGATTAGGAGATGGCCTTTCCTTTGCCTTTCCCTCACACGTGTATTTTGGCTGCAGATGTAGCCTATTGTAGCACGATGTCTAGGGCATTGCGGCAGCCTAGGACAGCTTCCTGTTCACAGCGACCAGCGTCCACTCCGCGCTGGGCATGGTCCTCATTATCCTCAGGACGTAGATGCCGTTACAGTGCCCGTTTCACAAAGGAAAGAACTAGAGGCTTTAGGGATTAAGTAACTTGATGAACTAACAAAGCACGTGTGACAGTGGAGCTGGGGTGGGAGCCAGGTGTGTGCGGTGTGGACACGGGGCCCAGGAAGCACCAGGCACAGCGCAGCCCAAGGAATGACAGTGGGGCTTCCCCCTAAGCCGGGGGTGGAGGCAGGGAGGCCACGCTTTCACGGTCATGATCCACGGCTCATCTCCACAAAGGACATGCACCTGGTTCTTATGGCCCGGAGTGCAGCACTGCCAGGAATTGGGAATTTTCTTGTGGGGCCTCTCTTGGGTTCTGTCTCCCAGGCCTAAGACCCCGGGCAGGGAGGAAGGCACAGGAATGCGGAGGCTCCCAGGTGCCTCCGCTTCTCTGATGTGCTTCCCCGTCTGCTGACTGGTGGTCAGAGACGGGGGGATGCCTGGATGAGGCGGTGGGAACCGGGGCCGGAAGCTGACCCGTGTCCTTTCACTTCTAGATGAGTGTGAAGAGGTGGAGCATCAGTGCCAGCGGACAGTGCAGCAGCTGGAGGCCGTCCTGGGGGAGCCGCTGCAGAGCTACTTCTAACCGGAGAGGGGTTCGCACTCTGTTCAGAGTTCGGATTTGTATTTTATATTTTTATCTGGGGTGTTTGGTGCCATGTTCGTTTTGGTGCCTTCACACCAACGTGGACTTGACAAGATTCCTCCCTGGTTTGTACTCCACCCAGCCCCTCCTGCCATCTGTACAGAATTGCAAAGAGTAAATGACACGTGGTGGTTTGATACAGGCGGCTGTGTTGTTTCAACGTTTATTAGTCCTTCCTGACTGTGCTGGTACAGCAGGTCTCATCCTCGCGCCCAGCTGACCGTACCCACTGGACTGCAGGGGCAACCCTTAGCTCTTCGGTAAAGGAATGTCTTACGCACCCGGTAGCCAGGTCAGATTCACTCAAAGCAGTACATTTTCTTCAAGAAAGTGAGTTATTCGGCTTTCAACAAGAATGCTTTTGACTGTGTAAAGCCATTTGGGCTTTTACTTTCATTTTGGGTAGATAACACTCAGCCTTGATTTTTGTGTGTGCCCATAGAGGGCAGTAGTTCTGGAATGTATTTTTCACTCAGGACAATGATTATCTCCTTTATCTTTCGGCCTTTCGCGCGGGCGGAGGGAGTGGAGGCTACAGGCTGTTTCTGAAACAGCTACACCTGACAGATGCACCAACCGGAAGCCCCCCACCACTCCCCCCTCCCCCCGCCCCAGGAGTAGGAGGAGGACTTTCCCACTGGTGGTAACCAAGAGTCACTTGTATGAGAGAGAATCGGATTTTTTTGAAGTTCTCTAATCCGTATATGTCACAGTGACAGTCGTGACAAAGAAGCAAAAGGCTGACATGCGGTTTAGAGACACATATATTCTCTTCAAGGAAAGTCTTAGTAAGGTTCAGTCATAAATGCTAATAGCTTCACTTCAAAAACATCTTAAGATTTCGTATTCAGTCCTTTGTTTTACAATCTCCATGTAACATGAACTATTGGACTTAGAGGAAAATCTGTCATGCAATCTTTCAGGAAGAAAAAAAATAACCCTGGGATTCTAGAGTCTTCTTGCCCTCCCGCCCCCATCAATGTTTTTTGAGTTTGGCAAGATTCGGCATAATAAACTAACAGGAAAACGTGGGAAAGAATGCTAGAAGTTTCTACACTGAGCGGGTACTTTAATATATATATATATTGGTAATAGTATTCTTTTTAGTATATTGGTATTAAAAAATAACGAATATCTGTTATGAAAATACTCCTAAATCCTGGCAGAATCCAGCTCAGCAATTTAATATGACAAATGATCTGGCTGATGGAGCTTTTTACCTCCCCACTCCCAAGCCTCTTAAATTTCCTGAAACAAGATCTGACATGTAAGAATTCTGCAAAGAATTCTGCCAACTCGTTTCAAAGAATCATAGGAAAAATTACAGAAATGCAACACTTAACTTGCTGATACAGGTTTGATTTAATCACTCAGATAGAACAATGTTTGATCTCAGCCTAGTGATGGACTAATCTGGAAAAGCAGAGAGGTGGTGTCGCTTTGCATGCAGACAACGAACAGGTGTTTATGTTGCCTCTCTGCGTTGGTCTATTTCACTTTCTGGTAGGGCCTGTTTCATAAACATTAAATCAATTCTTAACTTTGCTTTGTGACCCATACACATTTGCAAATTGAATTCCTCTCACTTCTACTTTAAACTCTCTGTACAGGTATGTGCAGACCTTTAACTCACCCTACATTCATAAAAAAAATATTCTACAGTAACCACTTACTGGTACAAAAGTATTGTGATTGACATCAAGTGAATTTCAACACCATTTGTTTTTGTTGCTTTTGCTTCGTTTTGTTGCCTTAATCTCTGTGCCGTGTTCATAGTGTTAATGATTTGGTGGTGCTTACAGTTAGATGCTTATTATGTTAAAGGGAACTGCCAGGTGTAAGTTGCTATCAACTCCTCAGCTGTGGGGATGAGAAAAGGCTCCTTAAGAATGTGGTCCCTGGGGCTGTAGTAGTGTCTTCTATAATTAATGTCTTAGGTGATTTAATAGCTGAGTCATTCCAAGGCCCTGGTGAGTGTATCTAACCTGCAGTGGCACAAGGGCAGACAGAAGAGCATAAGGAACATGGTTTTGGACACCACTGTACATCCATCCCAGCTCCCAGCACGGTGCTGGCAAAGGCAGTGCTCGATGCACGTTTGCTGCTGTATAGAACAGGCACCTCACCAGTGCCTGGTGACTCGTGAAGCGAGGTATAAACAGGCGGGTGGGGAGAGAGGAGGAGGCCTGAATAATGCATAAGCTGCTGCTGCCTCCAACTTCCTCCTCCTGCGCTAGACGGAGCCTCCTGCATGACAGGTCTGAACACCAGGAGGACTAATACTGCGGAAGCTCATCTTAACTATACACACAGGTAGTATGGTCGTGAGATGCATTTTAACCAGGCCAGTGTCACGTAAGCCATTCTGTATTTCAGTTTTTGTGGTGGTCGTGCCAGCTACCAGCTCCTTACTTCCAGCAGCTGGATGTCTCCGTCAACCTCCAGGGTGTCGATGCTGGGGAGCTCTTTAAACCTGTGCTTGTACTCCAGGCTGTGGACGCCATTCACCGCAACCTTGAACTCTTTAACATCACAGTAAATTATCATCTGAAAGGAAAGGATGCGCAACCTTAGTGCTTCCCTTGGTTTAAAAATCTGAGTTTCTTGTACAAATAGGACTCGCTTCCTGGAAGAAAGGGCTGCCACCCAAAGCTGTGTGTGACCAACAGGGGTGATGGCAGTGCAGGCAGTTTCATGGTCCCCGTGTCTTCATATCCTCGGGGCGTTAAAAATATCACCCCAGGACTGAGACAAGGTTCCTGCTAAAATTCCTATTAACTAACAGTGCTATCCAGTTTTTGACATGACAACAAATGTCCAATAATTCCATTCTACTGGGTTTGCCATTGGCACTGACTGTCTATGTTATAAATAGGACATTGAAAATACAATCTCAAAATAAAACACCCACACACACAGCTGCAAAGTAGGGCTTGACCTGCACGGACCATCTGTCTGACCCCTGCTCCCAGGATCCTTTTCCCTATCCCCTTTTCAAAATATGATCTTACCTCAAAGTACATCCCAGGACTAAATGGGAAACAGGTAATATTTCTCTCTTCTTCTCCCCAGGACTCTTGAAGGAAAGAATTCCTTATAAATGCTTTACTATTCAGGCGCGGGTTCAAGTGGAGAGCAATATCCTTTGATTTTCCTGATATCAGATCAACATTAAAGCTTTTAAGACAAAAAAAATAAAATTTAGTCAACTAGAAGAGAGTAGTGCACTTTCTGAAATTTAACAAGCAGAACTGAACTCTGATTATAATTACACAAAATATAAGTATGCATATGGACATAGAAACACGAAAGGTGAAATGAAACTGTCAATTCCAAGTTAGCATTCCATAGATAATGTTATTTGTAAAATGAAGATGGAAAAAAAAAACACATTAAAATCAATGTTGAGGGTACGGATCTGGTTAGGAGGAAGCTGGGGGTTTAGAAGAATAAGCCAAGTGATTTCTTCAGCTGCGGGGGGGGGGCAGGGTCCTGTCAAGAAGGGATTCTCATGTCTGTGTGTTTCAAGCTTTCAGAATCCGAATATCCCTGGAGAAGGTCCGTAAAGCAGACGTTTTACAAGTTACATGACAAGAGGGGCCCTAACAAGAGCTACAGGACCTCCCAGGGGTGCCCTGGATTCTGCCAGGGAAGGAGGGCCACCCTGAGTCTGGCACAACATTAGGATTTAGTCCTGGTTCTGCCACCAACTAGTGAGCAGCCTGAGTTCCTCTTTATTACCCGCACCTTTCAGCTGAGGACTGG